GCGACATTTACAAAGCAAATATCGTTCCCAGATTGCATTATTATTTAATTGTTTCGAGTGCCGCTCAAAGAGAGCAGTCTTGTTTGATCCATTATGCATCAAATATTGTTCAACTCTTGTTATTTCATATTCTGTTCAGAAGGAAAGTGTTTTCACGGGACATCGAACTGTGTAATTTCTTCTGATGTTATTTGAATTTTTAAACTCTGTTTTATTTTGGTTTTATTATAATGTAGACAGGTAGATGTTTGTCTATTTGTATCAATAATTATTTATTAAAACGAAGCATCCTACAAGATAGGTAATGCACATTTACGTTGTTTCAGAATAATATCCAAAAAGCGATAGTCATGATGAAAGAGCGCGAACCTGGTGCAAAGTAGCAGCGGCCATACATCAGGCGGCTCCATTCTAATGGTAATTCGGGATATACGCGCGCCCGATATTGTTGGCCGGTCCCTTCTGCCGTAACAAATGTTTATTTTATACACAACGCCACTAACAATAGTGTGCAAATACCTAAACACCGTAAATGGTGGCGCGATGCGATTTAGATGATAATGCTCGCAGAAATAATAATGGGAGGCGTTTGTGATTGTGCGTTCTGTTTACAGTGCGGTCTGCGGTCCGCCGTGTGCCGGTGCGTGCTACTCTCTGCTTCTGTTTGTATAACTAAATTATTTTCTTTTAGTTTTTAGAAATGAGTGACAGTATTGTAGGAGATCGGGACTTGAGAAGAAATGAACTTTTAAAGCAATGAGTAGTTTAAAATTGCCATTAAAAATTGGTAAACATGACCAAAAACCCCTTGATCATATCGTAGCTTCCCAACAAATACTACGAGCTCAATCAACAACGGTAAACATGAAACGTCTGCCTACAACATGACTGGAAAATCCACTTTCCTTCAAAATGTCTGCTTAATATTATTTATAATACAGAAAAGGCCTAAGTCTTTAACAAAATCAGGAATAAAACGTGAATGTTTTATGTAGGTTCAGGTAGCGGGGCGAGTGCCTCCACGTGCCTCCTACATGTTTAATTTGATATTGTTTAAAGACGGTGCGCCGGCTGACAGCCCTAACTCCCATGCATATTCATGTGGCGTGATTAATCATGGCGAACCTACCTCCCTTCACACACCTACTACATAGCTACCTATATACTTTGTTTATTATACAAACACCCACTGCGATGTTCAAATTGTGAATTATTGGCTAAAACACGCCGAGTAAATTAGTTACGAGCGTTAGTGGTAATTTGTCGGCGGAATACTTCCTCAATTTTATGTTCTTTTTTTTTGCAATAAATTAAAACACCGCAGGGCTTTTCTTTCAATTTTTCTACTTTAATGATAAATACACGCATTATTTCAAATTAAATGGTCATCGATCCACATTTTGTGAGCAGTCGTAAACATCGTAAACTTGGTAGGAATGCTACGTAAGATTTGCATGGCGTAGCTCGCAGTACATTACCTACATCCTACATGATGGCAAGTCTTTAAAAACCATTTGTTGTATAAATATTCTTTCGTTCATCCATTAATTAAAACAAACTATAAGACCTCTAAATAGCTTTTTAATCCCGCAAAACGAGGTTCATCAATTATAACAATTGATTACAAAAAAGCGCATGATTTATACATTCCTCACCCAGAGATTTTGTCGCGTGCCCTATTTTTTTAATAAAAAAAATAGTTTAGAGCGGTAGTAAAAAGTCTTTGATGAATTAAAAAAAAACGTGTAAATTAGCATAGATAAGCAATAAAGAGTAATGGTTGATCGTGCATCTGCCGGTGGGCGGACATGGCCGCGATGCATGTCGGTTTTATGCTAATAATGTCAGCTTTAACCGCGATTAGCGCATGTTATAACAAGTCATTGACGCAATGTACACGAGTTGTAAATTATAAATAGCTTACTATTATAAAGTTGGCGAGATAACTTATAATTGCAATATGATAATACACTTACAACGGTGTTTTTAGATTTTTGCTACAATTAAGTAAGTCTATGTGATATCTATGTGAAAAAGTGGGTGTGTATCGAAATAAATTTAGTTTTCTATTCTAATTTAGATGGAGCTTAATAAGTAAGAAAATGGTACCTATATTAAAATGCGATAAATTAACTCCTTACCTACTTGCTTTTAAAGACAGAGAGTTTCGTAATAAATCGATCGCGCGTGGAGTCTATTAATTTACGGGATAACATTAATTTCAGTGTAATAGCCTCAAATGTTTGGCTCGATGGATTTTTTGAAATATGAAGATGTCAGTACGCCTACAGTTTATGAAGAATTTGATTGACATTCATTATCAAACAAAATGTAAGTACCTGTTCAAAGTGAATACTCAGGATTATCTATTTTGAAATGATAACTATCTTGGGTATCGGTCCCGTTGCAGCTCGAAACCAGTCGGGCATACTCTTATAGTTTACGTGAGCAAGAAGAAATTTAATCTCGGTTTCGATTCCCGGGTCGGGCAAAGTATTACTGAGTTTTAATAAATTCTCAATAGTAGCAGGGAGTCTGGAATTGTGCCCGGTATACGGTAACAGGCTTACCCCCTAGTACATGGGACGCATAACACACACAGTGAAAAGTGGGTGTTATATTGTACAGTGGTGTTAAGTGCCTTAATGTGCACCTCTGCCTACCCCTTCGGGGACTAAAGGCGTGGTGTTATGTTATGTTATGTTATGTAAAAAAATTAATACCTTCTTCGATACCTGATAGAAAGTAAAGGACAAAGACAAAGGACGAATAAAATGAATATTTGTCTGTTATAGACAATACAAAGAAAAAATCTTCCAATTGGTAACCTCACGAGGAAGATATAAGATCAAAAACGCTATCAGTAATGTAACACAAAACGGGAATGACACGTGACGTCGACGAGGCGGCGACGTCGTCGTCAATCGGGCGGCAATCCGTCAGCGCGCGCGCTGTCCCGCGGGACGTGCCGCGGGGCTCGATTAGTGTCGCTCACTGACCCAGCTAATTTGTGACTAGTGATTACATATCTACATACAACTTTTTGCAACTGCCAATCAAAGGTCGTCAGGTGAAAAATATATCTTATAAAAATAATTGTAGGCTGATGTCGTAGACATATTTAACTGTACACTGAGCGAGTTCACAAGGACCACGTTCTCTATAGTGTGTAAGGAAATATAGTCTGCAGTTAAAATTTTTATAAGTTTATAGATACTTAAATATAGTTAATAGTTTAGGAAGCATATTTTAAGTTACTATGTCGAATCAGGTTAAGTTATCTGTAATGGCAAAGTAATTGGATTAAATAAATAAATAAATCTTTATTTTACAGCTGGTTTTGAATTTCTCCAATCGTCCCGTCTTGTTACATTTTCTAATAGTTCAATAACCTATTGCGAAGAGATAGAATTTCGACATGAAGTCTATATATAGCTAACGCAAAATATTTGAAAATTATATCTGTCTCTAAGTCATGAAAAATATGAAGTGAAGAAACAATGAACTACTCAAAAGCATAGAATTCACGATGTAGGTAAAGCTGACAAGAATATGACAAGGATAAGTTAGTGATAGTTAGCAAGAGTAGGTACTTAGTATTTAGGTAAGCAATAGTAAAGGTAACATGAATCATATTATAATACCTGATTTAAATTAATGTCCAACACCATACCTATACGTAGGTATTTGATAATTGCAATTCTGCACAAATGAAAATCAACAACAGCTTCATTTATTAACTATCGAATCTTTTAAAAATATCTCATCCAGACGGATTACGGGATGCGACGACAAAAAAACGTAGTACATACACAATACACACACACATGTAGGTACAGTAGATACTACATACAGTAGGCATCATTTTTCCACAACGTTGAATCAACACTGGAGCCATTCATCGGCGCAATGAAAATATTGGGATCGTTTATCTTTTGTTTTTCCATTTCGAAACCTTTCGGTTTATTCGGTGTGTGATCGCGAATGTGTTCGCTGACAGTATCCATTTATGCAACAACTAAAAGGATACGTACTCACTGATATGTGAAATCACTATTTTGTTTGATGGAGTAAAGCTTTTCAATTTTATTTTTCAGTTATTGATGTGATTGTTTTGTTTGTTTGCTTGTTGGCATTTGAAATGAGTTTTTGTTTTTACTGTTTGTCAGTTCGTTTTGGATTTATTGTTGTTTTTTTTGTTGTTAAAGTAGGTGTGTAATACAAAGGGAGGAGGTACTTACCTGGTTGTATTGTACCGGGGTTTGTTTTTCTGTTTCACACACTTTTATTGCCATAACCTATTTAATATTTTAACTGACAGGTATTAAAAACACTCGAATATTTAAATTCCCTACATTAGTTTACTATCTCATTACATACGTTGTATCTTTTTACCTAAAACACTAAGTATAAAATAAATAATCTAATATGTACACTAAATTAAATTCTTCAATACGACCTAATCTGGTTACTCCGAAAAATCTTACGTTAATGTTAGAATTTAGATACCTACTTCCGGAAGTCGAATCAAGGATTGCAATTTCCGCATGAATATTATGTTAAAAACTTTTATACAATACACATATTGTCACTATTATGTAATTATTAAATTAAAAACAATTCAAAATAGCATTTGTTATTTATTCTATAATTAATTTTGTTTTTAATAAATGTTTTTGTATTTACTCTCAAAACAAAACGGGCTTAAAATTGTCTTAAGCGCTACTAGCGCCATCTATTGCCTAATAGCAAAACCAAATGTTTTCGCTTTAGGAGATCAAATACAAAGTTTCTGCTATTGCTCACTAGATGGCAATAAACACAGTTTACGAGTTATTCGGGTGAAGTCGAATGAGACGATTAAACTTGTTTATATAGTCTCAAAGTTTTTTAGAGACTTTAATATCAGGAAATACAAACAAAAATATAATTTCATAAAATATGTGATCAGCAACAAGCACAGATGACTGCCTAATGATACTTTAAATAAAACACCAATATCAATTTAAAATCATTTATGTTCCATCATACAAAACCCAGCTACCAACCCATAGAATATAAAATTAATAATAACAATAGCTTAAAACAATATAAATAAAGTATAATTAAGTACAATTAAAAACGTAAACGTGTTTTCAATTGAATCACAGATGTCAAAGAGTAAAAAAAAATTAACAAACTTACATTCATAATTACGTTTATTTCGCCATTACTTAATAAAAATGTAATTAAACTTCAAAATTAAACTAGTTAAAATTAGTCTCATATTTTTTATAACAATGTAAGTAAATCAGATCTGTTTTGTCATAAAAATTGTCATATATTGTGACATTATGGGCCTGCACAAACAAGGGGCATATATTATGTTTGTATGTCGAACTTGACTCAATTACATCACGATATATTCACAGGTCTCTTCGTAGGTTATACAATAGAGTTTATAGGGAATCTATATTGACAAAATAAGTACTACCTGTTATGCAATGGAATCAAGTTATGTTTTACAATATTAAATTGGTTTTTGTCCTTAGGAGATAAAATGCCTTCGGCTATACAGGCCCTATTTTCAATGGAAAATTATGATGTTATGGACCGTTTCCTTCCACTTTTCAACATTTCTGGTAGAAATATTTCTTATATGAGATTCAAAGGGTTAAACGAGTGCTGCTTATGAACTTAGCGGTTATAAAACACGTCGTTTTATAATCAAACTATAATGGACCCATTTCAGTCTTAAATTATAAATAATGGAACGCAAAAACTTGAGCTGCATATTATGAGTATTATCACGTAAGTATATACTGAGATGACAAACTGTAATTAGACAAGATTTACGGAATTTTAGACTTTATTGCAATACAAATAAAGTAGCCATTGCTAAACTGAGTTTAAATGATGTCAACTATTCAATTTTCACTATTTTTTTTTTTGTTTCCATGTCGAGCAGTTGTGTGTCACACATGCTGAATTTTCTAGCGTCTTATATTTCCTCCTAACTACTAAAAATACTTAAAACGAGGTTTTATTGTATTAAGGCCTTAACAGCTTTCAAAATAAGGCATATTTTCCTTAAAACCTGGTCTCGCCTAGGCAAGTTTAAGGCACAATCCACATAGGATTCGCATTGGTCCTCATTTGGGATGTTTCCTTAGGCAAAAGTAATTGTTTCGACTATTCAATACAGGAAAACATTGAAAAACAATCATACATTAAGTTATGTCATAAATTACTTAGTTTTCGTATTTTTCAGATAAAAACATAAGGTTACTTGGCGCCAAAATATTATATTCTTGTCAAAAATTCAAAGAACACAACTGCCAAGAAAGACATCGAAAGAAACTGCTAAACTCGACTAGTTAGAAACATCCCTATATTTTTTATAGTTGGAACTCTTTTTTACTAATAAGGTGGAGTTTAGAAGATCCGCATGGTGTTAGCACAGCCATGGTTCATGCGGTACTGGACATACATCATGCCGGAGTTGTGCCAGTAGTACAGAGCTCCTAATACCAGCACATGCCACCATTGATGGGAGTGGCCTATGTAGTCCATCTTGCCTGGGAACCAACGTTCGGGAACCTGGAAATTAAGAAAGGGTAAATAAATTATGAAATGTCCAATTTTAGGGCAGTGCTTGTGTAAAACGATACAAATAACAAAATATGTATCGACTTATCATTAATAAGAGAAGTAAATCTTTAAGTCTTGAATATGAAAATTTTCGGATAAGTGTCAATAAGTAACAATTACAGGAAAATAGATACGATTGTAGGTAGATACGATCCACATTTTCATGCTAATACTAATTACGTCAAACGTTGGAGACTATTAAAATATACAATGTGTACAACGGGCGATCTCATCCAATAATCAGAATAGTGTTATTGAAAGATGATGTAGTGACAAGGAGTGAAAGGATGGTTGAAAGTGATGAAAGTAGAGTAACGAAAGAAGTATACAGAGCGGATATGAATGGGGCCGTCGGTAGAGGGCGCCCAAGATGGACATATACTAACCAGAGCCAATGCCTGGGCCAAATTAAAAGTACCCTAACCGACGAGCATGCATGAAAAGATTGATGACTGTTGATGAAGCGAAACAGGTATGTAGGTATCGTAGCAATTGGCGTTCCATAGTCTCTGCCTACCCCTATGGGAGACAGGCGTTAATTTATGTATGAATGTATCAAATATATATTGTCATAATTAAATCATCAAAACGAAGTAATATTGAATTATCTGTACCTACAAACAACAATGACGAAATTATTCAGATTAATGTCGTCCGTCATTCGACAGGAATTCAATAAAAATTAGCATACAACCTCAATTCCAGCGTCGTACAATTTTAGCATACAATTAATACAATAATGACCTTATAAACTATTCTACATTCCTGGTTTACAGTCAAACCGACTTAATTATATTATCTAGGAAGTTTAAAGTGTAAGTGAAATAAATTTTGAAATAGAAACATCGTCGCATCAGCAGCTGTAGCCAAACGCCATTTAGCGCTTGTCTACATGTAGAATAGAAAACTAAATTACATATATTTGGGGATTGACGTAAATTTTGACACTTGTCAGTGTCATCCCGATACATTTAGTTTTCTACTCTCTCTGTAGACAAGCGCTAAAGTGGCGTTTGGCTATAGGCACTGAAACTAACCCTTACTATTATTTTTGTGTGTGGGTTTGTTTGTCCTTCACGTCGTAAAGGGGCGTTTTGTAGTATGATTATATATCTGGAGGAAGTTAAAAGGCTGTAGAGAGCCTACTTTTTTACTTTAAACCGACGGCTGAATCCGTGCGTGGAAAGATTGTAGTATATAATATAAGTATAAAGTATACATACCTTAAAGGCGTATATCACGAAGGCAGTTCCACTTATCACATACATCCCAATCACCCTTGGGAAGAACATCTGAAACAATGTCATAACAACATAACATCACGTCTTTATCCCCGAAAGGGTAAGCAGAAACGCACATTACGACACTTAATGCCACTGTACAATGTAATACCCACTTTTCCGCCGAGTGGTCGCAAGTGCGACTGTCGGGAAAGGGGTCTCGGGTTCGATTCCCGGGTCTGGCAAAGTATTACTAGGTTTTCTAAAAACAAAACATCTCAGTGGTAGCACGGACTCTGGAATTGTGCTCGGTATATGGCAATAGGCTCACCGCCTATCACATGGGACTCGCATAAATAGTGAAAAGTGGGTGTTACATTGTAAATAGCATTAAGTGCCGTATAATGTGCACCTCTTCTGCCTACCCCTTTGGCGATAAAAAGGTGTAATTTTATATTATGTGGCTATAAATGTACATTTTGTATCTAGCTACACCAAATAGTACATTAGATTTGGGCAAATCTTTGTCTACTTGTGATCTTCGAACTATTCTTTATCATAATAGGCTAGGATCATACGTGGAAAGATTTGTAGAAAGGTGACTGACCTGCACCATAGGGTTGTCGAATCCCCCCATAGTATACGTCCAGTGCAGCGTAGGCAACACTCCGTAGGCTGCCCAGCCGATGAACACGCACATCTTCACGAGGTACGGCACCCCTAGCCGAGGGATCTGCAGCACCATCGCCACCACGAAGATTACGGTCACCGATGTCATGTAGAACGTTTTTAGTTCCTGTAATATAAGAAATAAAAGTTATAAGTTTTTTAGAATTAAAAGTTTTAAGTGTGAAAGAGCCATGCTTCGGCACGAATGAGCCGGCTCGACCGGAGTGATACCACGGCCTCACAGAAAACCGACGTGATACAACACTTGCGTTGTGTTTCGTCGTGTGACTGAGGTTACCGGAGGCCCAATATCTCCTCAATCCCCGAATCCTCAACAATAACGCACTTGTAACACCTCTCGTGTTTTGGGTGTCCACGTGCGGCGCCGATTGCTTACCATCAGGTGATCCGTCTACTCGTATTTCATAAAAAAATGTAGTTTCTAAAACACGTGGTCGACACGAAGACGCAACAAAAACCAATAATTTTCCATTCCCGTCTACCAATACTAAGAACAATACATAGCTACGATAAAAGAAATATATACTTTCTTTGTTTTCAGAACTACTTACATACTTAGCTTAGATTACCACATAATGAGTAATTTGAGGCATCTTTGTGTTTCAGGTAATGAACCTGGCTGGTTTGTAACTAAGGTTATTGCACTGGTCGGTGACCGGGTTATTTGGCTTCAAATATTACAATTCAATTCAAAAATTTCGGAAACTTTTGATTATTACAAAACAAGCAACAAGTTCGTGTAAAATGTGTAGCAGGTGGGTATTACTGTCATACAATACTACTGTGATACAATTATAAAATTGAGACAATAATACTTATAGTTATTATTGTCTCTATTTTAAAATTGTATCACGTTACACGTAGTAGGAACTGGATCTTATAGCAATTTTATGGCAATCGACCAGACTTATAAAATAGCTGGTCAAAGTGACTGTAATTTTTAATATCATTCATACTCCTTTAAGGAACAAAAAGGCAGTTTAGTAGTGTTATATGACGAAAATCAACTAAAGGAACGTCGCTAGTTTAATCTGTCTTATAGACAGCACTAGCTGTCATGTTGACGATGTCATCTGTCAAATGTGACAGATAAGAAAAGTTTCCCGCGCAAAGAGTGGTAACGCGCGATTCTGGTGGGAATTTTGACGAGCATCACGCTGTGTTCTTATTAGATCCGTTTAGAATAAACTTTTCAGTATTCAAGTATTGAGTATTATTTAAAAGTAGGTATACCTATGATAACAAAAATGCAAATAGAAGTGTGCTGACAACTGAATACCTCAATGCAGTTATTTGTCAAAGCAATTATTATTGCAATGGTGTCCTTATGTAAGAAGTAACAGATTTCTCTAAACATGACGTATGTACGACTTCTTTCAGTATTATTTACTCATTCCATCATCAGGTTTCACTATAATTTGCATAAAGGTTCGCCACTTCTGAGTTTTATGTGTCCCAAAGATTATTTTAGATTTGTCAACTTTCATTTATAGAATAGGGGGCAAACGAACAGCGGGGTTATTATGACGTTCTAAAGTCAGAATGGTCCCATTGATAGAGAGAAACAGAGCTATACAAGTCGTCTAGCGAGATCTCGCTCCCACATCGGGAATACGCCACCAGATCAATTAGGCACTTGGTGGCTACCGATCAGCTAGAATACTGTAACTGTCATTTCGAATGTTTAAAATGAGCTCAATCGCAATCTCGCCCGTCATTGGCCGAGATTATACTCACAACCAATGACATCGTGAACCGCGATCGAATTCATTTTGATCTTTCGAATTTGAAGTTACAGCAGAGCTTAGCAGGGCCGCCCATAGACACCCGCAACCTCAGAGGAGAAGGAGACAGATCTACAAGTTCATCGCATCGCAGCTTCAAAATCTTCAAATCACGAAATCTGAGTTGTTTTTGGACTATTGCGTAAATATTTATTACATAACATAATAAAATTATTACACCCTGTTTGTAGTAGAGTAATAATATGTAGGTAATTACGCCTTTTTTAATCTCTTTTATAATTATATCCTCAAAGTATGTACAGAGTGCGCAAAAAGCCCACATATTTACGCTTGAATTATGTCATTCATAAAGAGTGTTTTACACCTTTGTACCTACTTATGAGATACTTCACGTTAATAATAATAATATCCACAAAAACTTACAAATATCTCTTTGTTATTATTTATGAAGTGACAGTAGAAATACTATTAAACAGTCTATAGCTAGCTAAGGTAGCTTTATAATTTCTACTAGGTATACTATTTTATTAAAGTCAAATACTGATTGTAATTGTGAATATCAAAGCCTTGACAAAATGAAATTGTTTTTTAATCGTTTTTATTTTCGTGTTATTCATGCAACATAAGCCTTGAGCAGTTGATTACAACTATTATTACACAAATGAAACATAATTCCTTACTTATGTGAAAATATAGGCTCACTCCCTATTACATGGGACTCATAACATAAATAGTGAAAAGTGGGTTTTACATTGTACAGTGGCATTAAGTGCCGAAATGTGCACCTCTGTCTACCCCTTCGGGGACAAAAAGGCGTGATGTTATGTTATATAAAAATAAACCTTTTTATCATCACCTGTCGGCCTTTTTCGGGAACGTTTCGTTTACACCCTGTAGAAAGCAATTAAATGTATTGTCTACATATATCTTACTAGTCTCATAAACGCTTTTGTCTGATCTAAAACATACACAAACCTAATCTATCATTCAATAAGCATACATCCTACATGGGAGGTCTACTAAATTATCACAACTAATGTAATTAATACAATCACACTTAAACATCGATTTAAATTCGAGTAAAACAACTCGGATGGTATGACAAGGTCATTGGCGCTTTGTTTTGCAACAAATGTTACAACAGACTGACGGACGAACCCTATATGCATGCATAGAGGACTCATTGACTCGCGCAATGCGTCCTGCGTACCTGACCACGGACTTGACCTTAAGACATTTACGAAATGAAAAAAATGTGAGCATATTAACAATAAATCATTAATTAATTATGATCACGATCTGAATTTACGTCAGTGGTAAGTCCAGATTGTGATGAAAAATTGCAAATGTATTTATAACACAATAAGACGCTTCTAGATTGTTTAAACTGTCAAACACCGCGAGGACACCGGTGACCGCAACCTATTGTTCTTTAATTTTGTCTATAATGACGGTACTCAAAGAGTTAAATTGGGATGATTACGGGGTTTGAAAATTAAAAATCTTATTAGTCCGTCAGTTAGGTAATGAAAAAATATTAGACATGTATTTTTTTATTTTGGTGTATAATAAAATGATACTTAGATAAAACGAATCAAAGTTTAGGAGTGGGGGCTAAAACGTCATTTCTACGTATAAAATGTACATAGAAGTGACGTCACGCGAAATTTCAAATCAATATATCGCCGAAAGTATTCGTTTCTGTAAAAAAAAAATAAAAAATACGTATCTAATGATTTAAAACAATCTACCAGACGAACATTAAAATCTACCCTACTAGAGTGAAACTAGAAACACGTTCGGGATTTCCTTGTTTTCTCGTATGCTATTCCATAAAAGGATACATATTTTTTGTCAAATAAAACTTGCCCCGACAGTAATAAATACGAAAAAGAAAGATACAGCCGTTCAAGAGTTCGCGTTACACCCATATCCAGAGACTAGCTGATACCCGCGGCTTTGCTCGCGTGGATTACGGACTTTGTGACTAACCTACGAAATTTAAACTCCTATTTCCAATGTTATGCGTTTCTAGATATTTTACTCCAACCATAATGCAAGTCATAGTCTATTAACCTTTGAGGTATCGGACGCAGATCTACGCAAGACAATGTGTTTTCTATTTTGTCTCATATATCGATAGACAAGAGGTCAATATCAAGACAGGTCTGCATACTTATACAATGAACTCGTTACTACTACTACGGTTGTATTCTAGAACAATCTTGGAACATGAATAAATTAGATTGCGTTCACACTTTTTAATTGTATTGATACGTGATTTGAATTTAAATTATTCTTATATTATGTTTTGGAAAGGACTCGAAGTTTGGTAACCGATTTCAGTGGCGAAAAATTGGGCGTACTTACCAAACTGTTTTTGAAAAAATTCTCTACAGAAACGTGTTCCGAAATTTCATAGTACCTATTAAATCGAAATCAATAACATACTTTCCGAAACAGAACATCACTATCCCCCGAGTTTTTGTAACAAAACGGCCATTAATAATACGTCGCCATAGAAAGACTAGATATGGCAGAAATGAGACAACACACATACGCACACACACACACAATAGACATAATGATACGGTAATTACATAAGCAATTATATCTACGCCAGAGCCTTACAATCGCGTGTGATACCGTGTCTTAATAATGAATGGGTTTTATTTTATGAAACCTTACATAATGAAACAATTAAAAAATATACTGTATGACTTTCAATAAGGAAGCCATAAGACACGCTGTGATTTGCTTAAATAGGTAAAAGTGATGGTAACCTTTTTACGTTTCTAAGATAGGTAGTTACTTCCAATAGCGGTAGTTGACAGGTATTCAAATTCAATACTTTATGATACTTTTCTATGAATTTATTATGTATTGGATCGCATCTTATGACGTCATCAGATTTCTGCGTCAAATAGCATACTTATTTCCTTAAAATTAGCGTGAATAAATAAAAAAGTAGGTCAATTGTCAAACCAATGGATGAGAGTATGATTATTTTTTAATTGTTTATTGCATTGAAAAGTTGAAACAAGTTATTTTAAACCTAGGAAACTAGCCAATTCTATTAAAGTATATTTAAAGTTTCAAACTGGGGCGTTGTTTTGCAGAATAAACTACATTGTATTTTACTGCTAACTGAATGAATATGATCTCTATCTAAGTCTTTGTATAATTTTCTAATCACACCGAAAGGGTCAAATTAAAAGTGCTCTTTATCGGCGAGCAATTATGAAGAAGACTGATTAACGTAGAGCAGAATCGAGGCATTTAGCGTTCCGTACTATGAAAATTAATGACTGGTGTGTTGTTGATAATAAGAATAACGATTCAAACGACCTTGGTTTAAAGATTTTTCTACTAATCATTTGTATCATACATAAAGTCTACTTAAAGACTTCGAAACAAACAGCACAAGTAGATACAACAATGAATATGATTATAATGACACAGTAAGCAAAAAGCAGCAAAAAAACGTCGTAACTTTCATTTTATGCGTCAAGATAAACCGGTAAGTTATAAAAGAATTTCCTACTGCCTGGCCTACAGTGGACTAAATGATGAGGTCTACCATACTTACTGGTCACCCATTCACCTTGATCATCTGTAATTTTGGGATATGAGGAAAGATGTTGCAAATATTGAGAGTTCCGTCAGATTATCCGATAAAGATTTTTAATTACAATCAAGCCATATTCATCCACTGCTAGACATAAACCTCTCTATGACGTACGCCACTGGGCTCAATAAATCAATACTATACCAACGTCCAACACACAAGTACAAAAATACGACACAGCCATACACGTGCTTCAGTATGCTCTTTCTCATTATATTGCCCTAGTAAGAAGCCACAACAAGATCATTACAAAAGCAATTATTCTCAGTCTATTTAAAATGCACTCAATCGAAAAATAAGGAGTAGAAAATGTGGGTTACGGCAAAAATTACATCAAATGAGATGTTGCTTCAGTGAAAGTATGGCAAGTTAAGTTCAAATACGCACAGGTTTTGTGATATTTACGTATAGACTGTACAAGTTGTACTTTCTCTTTTACTGTAAGTTGTATAGGAACCGTACATCAAGTGTCGCTGATTAACGCCTAGAATAACTCTCGACACTATACGTTCATATCTGAGAGATTAGAAAGCGAATGTTGCTATCTTACTTCAATTTTTTTAATGATCAACAAACGTGACGATTAAGAATTTTATTGTGATCGCTTATGCTATTGTTAATTAAAGCAAATTATTGTTCATGAGTGATAAGAAATTCGTTTGCGTGTTTTGTTTCCGTTTGTGTTTAATAAACGATTTATCAAGCTGTTATCGCCTAAATAAAATTCATAATTAATAAAGATATACAAAGTAATCCCGAGGTTTAACCCGTGGTATGCCGTACGTAGATCTACGTGAGAAACGATGTATTTTGTATTGTGTCTCATACCTATACCGGCACTTAAGAGGGTAAAGGTTTTAGTGACCCCTTTAGGAAAATCTTGATCATTGTAGAGGAACCATAAGGAACACATATACAAAGATCGTGGATTAGTCATGCACTTAATATTGTACGTTTATGCACTAATCTTTAATCTTAAACTGTTAATTCTCTCGTATCAGATACGAAAATTTCCTTTACATGACGATGTAAAAGCACGCGATCTCATAAATTGTAATATGGCGCCGCGCCGCGTACAATACTCGCTTCCACAAACCATAGAGTAAAATTTAAAAACTTACAGAATGACACCAGAACGCGTAATAAACACCGGAAGTGTAGATGGCCAGTAAGGAGAGCGCGATTCCAAAGAGGTCGTACATGAGGAACGTGTTGTAATCGTGCTCTGACCGGCAAGAGAACGTGTGGTAGAGGGCTGACAGCGCCATGCATATCTGGAATAGTAAAAAAATAAAAATGAAATACTAAAATACCTCTTTAGTTTCTAGTATCATTGAAAGGGCAGATAAGGTTTTCCGCGTTTTTGCTTGATCTATTATAATATCCTATTAGAAAAGGAATTCCAAAAAAACATCCCATTTCTAAGTAGAATGCTAACTAATAAAAAAATATGGCACAAATTCAAATATGGTGTTCCAATTACCATTTCAACACACAACATTCCAAAGTGACTGAGCTACTCAGTAAACACACAGATTATTTTTGACAAATCTCATAATCACCACAACACCACGTCAAGCATTATCGCCTAGTGGTCAAACGCTGACCTACAAATTATAAAAAGCAGAAGAAAATTATATTCAGATCTGGAAGGTGAAGAAACCTAACTAAGGGAAAACTAGCATCAGACTTCATGACATTGGGATCAAACCTGAAATAGACAGAAGTCACAGTCCACATACATACCTACCACACAACAACCATAAAATTGAAATCTTGGTACTTCAAAACAGAGTCGATGTAGATAGCTGTTGTCTTTAGTGTTTGCTTGCCAAACCATTGGAACTCGATTACACGATTACTCATTTAAGCAAATCAGATAAATTCTGGAAATTATTATAATACCAAATATGTGATGTCCTTATGATTATAATTCTAACTTCCAAATTCCAAGTTTATTGACTGACCTTAATATTGACCTTATGAAATTCCACAAATGTTAAATGTTATTATTCCCTCATATGCATAGATACGCATTGGATGTGTGCTAATTTAGAATTTACGCGGAAATACTAAAACGAAATAGTTAACATACAAGACCAAATAACATGACCTTGTTTAATTTTAAAAATAGGACCAAAACATTATATAATGCGTAATTTTGCAAACCGGTTTACAAATCATTGAAGAGAGCAGCGTGGTACCAACATAAGTAATTACATAACTTAATGACGTCATAAGGTCATAGATGCCAACCGTTAGAACATTAAATAATTAAATGTTAAGAATACTTGGAAAGAAAATCGATATAACAATAATGGCTTCATTTAATGACATGAGTACACGTGCACTTTCTTGCAATTGAAAATCAATGGTCTTGTCATATTGCGTCTGATGCATGTAACTCCGAGTTAAGACTGCGTTGTCAATACAACAATGTCTATACAAGGTTTAAGAAAATCATTAATGCTTAAGAAAATATAAATATAGTACCGTATATAGGTACGTATATTTAAGTTTTCTTAAAAGGTTAATAATAATTAGGTAAAAACTTTATCGAGTAGGTACCTACTTAATTCGAAATGCATTTGATTAAAAAGACAACAAAACCATTGCAGCTGTCCCACGGTCAGGAATGGCTTCGTCTCACATAGAGAAAGAACAACGTCAATAAAATCAAAGTTTTTAAGCTCAGGATTTATGCGAATTCCACCGCTATTAAAATGCAGCAGTGTGCCAAGACCATTATTTAAAAGGTTAACATGAAATACGCAAACTCTTCGAAATCTAAAACAAATAATACTCATCTCATTCTATTTGACATACCTATCTCAGAATACCAAATTAGGCGTAGTTATCAAACACAACCAGTTTTTGTGTCAAAATGAGCACACAGAGTGACTCTTCTGCTTACCCCCACTACGAACATCGCGCCACTATTTACAACCTCGTTGGAATTGCAACATCAACATCGGTGCAACACTAACCACGGACAATTTACAACTTTATGACTACAAATGCCAACACTTTGATACTTGAACATGAATGAATGTAGTACAAAACTATAAAAAAATATTGTTGATTGTCATTGACGTTCTTTGTACAAAACTATAATAAAATATTGTTGATTGTCGTTGGCGTTCTTTAACTGTTTATTTGACGGTTTCTCATTCTTACTTTGAATTCAATTGCCCGCCATTTGCATTTGTATCCATAAACTTGTTTTCTTTTCAAAGAACTTTGTAATTTTAGTGTTAAAACCGCTATAAAATGTTGAATAAAGCTACGTAGGTACAATACTATACCCACATAAATAACCAATGGTAAACAGTGAGCTTGCCCGTCTGATGGCCCGTCGTTTATTGGCACAATAGCAACCTGTTTTAATGAATGACCTCTGAATGAAAGATGCATAACCTTTTGCTTTCACGAAACCTACCTACTATAAGAAAATAATTTTTAATATCTGAAACTATTTGCATACAATACATTCACGAAAATATATGCTTTAATACTTATGAATGAAATAAAAAACAATTTATATTTTGAACAAATTGAATATTTACTTAAAATAAATTAAAATACTATACATAAAATATAATACAAATAAAGTAAATACTTAAAAAATAAATACGCATTTAAATATCTGAATAATCTACGTTTATTTTCGAATTATGAACGTAGAATATCTATCCATCTAAATCTTGTACAATGTTGACAGTGAAAGCATTCCATAAGTGGCCACGAGACTGATTACCGACAATCTCCGGCATGTATCAACCAACTTCGAAAGTTTATACAATGTAAAATTAATTTTAAGGCATACAAACTTAGGTACAATTTACTTCAAGGTATTCGCACACGAACGCTGAATGAATATGGATTAGAATATCTACTTAATTGCTTTTGTTACATTTATGAGTATTTTACACATAATATTGCTGAAGCAGTTGATATAAGTAGGTACTATAAATGACCTGGTTTTGACATCATCAACGTAACTGGATCCAGTATAATATTAATTTTTTACTAAAATTATTCTTTTGGAAGATCCAAATTCAAGTTATCAATTCTATCTCAGAATTTTTAAATATGGGTGAACAAACTATTGACACTTAAGTCACATTCACATTAGCATTGTTTACTAATCAAAACAAAAGCAAACTTTTTGCACCAGTACCCACTACCCAGTATACTTTGCACTGTAGTCATTAACGCTCTTTTTTATAATTTTATACTTTCACTAACGGGAGAAAAGCGGGTCGAACATCTGAGCAGTAAACTTTCAAGACGTCGACCGACGACCAATGGTGTAGAGCTCATTTCGTAATAGCCACGTCACGTTGGACATGGAAATATTATATTACGAGGCGATACTCGCATCATCGCAAGTCTGCCAGTACTACGATCATATTAGCCGCAAGGAGAGGGCAACAAACCTCGTTTCGTCTAAGTAAACACAATTTTTGCGCTTTGAATGACGCACAACAGTAATTAGGAATGATAATTTCAATACCACGTTCTTATGATACGCTTTAGGACTGACTTTAGAGACGTAAGTACAAAGTAATGCTTCCTTCTAGCGTAAAATTCAACGATTAAAATGATAATTAATGCTGAATAATAAATAATTAAAGTAATTTGAATTTCTTGGCAGCATAAACGAATATAGGTACTGTATTTCTATTAAATTCTACAAAAAAATATAAAGATTCGGACTACGTTATGCTCTAAACTGCGTTCGTAATATGAATTTGCAGCCGTATCTAAAGACCGTTTATTGGCAACCTCAATAACTAATATTGTAATATCCGACTCCAAAACATTGACCACCTAAAAAAAATATTACGGGCATTTACACGCTCCAGTCGTGTGGTCACAAACATGACTGTCAAACAAAAGATCTCAATGTCCGGATCTGATAAAGTATCAGTGTTATTCCGGTGTTCCGAAATTCTCAGTAATGAAACGGAGTCTAGAATGGTACTCGATATACGACAAATAAACTCTTCTTACAAGACACTCATAACGGGCTAAAATAATGTTAATAAAACCTTAAACTACCCGTTTGGGGACACAAGGCATCAAGTTCTATGCGTTGTTTTTTACCGTTCGATAACCGATAGGCATGACGTAAAGCGATTAGTATACACTTACCAGAAAACAAGAGAACAATAAGCCAGCGACGATCTTGTCTGTGACCGTCGCGTGGATGTTTATGATCACCAAGTCATTGATGGTCAGGAACAATAGCAAGAAGAAACCGAATATGTGTGTCCATATGTTCATAGTCTCATTCGTCCACCAGAATATGCTAAAACAAAATTAAAATTCGATCATATTTGGAACGAGGAAGCCACTTAACGTGACAGTAAAATTTGCATTGCATAATAGAACATTTTTGGCGGGTTAGGAGGTCGAACATTTATTTTATTGTGTGAATATATAAATCTGTACTATTCGTTTTGATGTTCTAAGTACGTAGAATATCAAGGATCTGTTACAAATTATTACTTTGTTCCATAAAAACATATAAATAGTCTAGTTAAACTTTACCTAAGTCCTATAAAGAGAGCTTGTGGTAATAAAAATCGAATCAATCTTAAATTAATGTAACCGGTTGAAACTTGGTTGAAACCGGTAACGATTATAATTTGGTTATAGCTACCAGGTGTCTTTTTTTTTTTTTTTTTTTTTTTATTT